AATAGTTAAAACTCAAGGTACCAGTCACCATAAGAGCTGCTACCTCTTATTGATCGGTGTGTGAACAATTTAGCAGGGAAAATTAGTGATAATTTGGTAGGCTAAACTGACTATACCGTTCCACCTCTTACGTAGGAAAAGTACCAAATCATAACTCAACCACGCAAAATGACTGATGGAATTACAGTTGTGGACTACACAAAGCTCAAAATCCAAAGGACCCTTGGACGTGGAGCGTTTGGCATAGTTTATATAGCAGAGTACCTTGATCGCAGGACACAAGGACCAGTGGTGATGAAACAGATCTACGAACCAGTCGACGAGGTTGCAAGAAAATTGTTCATGAAAGAAGCCAGGTTGCTAAATGGCCTCCATCATGATAATATTGTCAAAATGTATGGTATCTGCGTTCGGCCACTTGTTATCATTATGGAGTATGTATGTTTTGATTTAAAACCATTCTTAAACAAAAATCTGAAGATAAATACCGTAGACAAATTTCTGGCAGAAGTATCCAAACTGTCTAATTGGGAGAAACGGTTTGATTCCTTCATACCGGCAATTGCAACAGACATAACAAAAGGACTATCGTACCTCCATAATCTGGAAATTGCCCACCGTGACCTAAAGCCAATGAACATATTGATATCTAATCAACATTACTGTGACCTTGATGATGGCCAGGAGATTAAACACCGGCTTATGTCAGCAAAACCTATCATCTGTAAACTGGCTGATTTTGGTGAAAGTCGTTCACAACTCATTCAAACAGACAAACGAAACAATCCCAGCACCAACCTCTTACAAAGAGGGACGACTCCTTTCATGGCGCCAGAAATCATTTTACCTGAAGGAGTGTCTTATCTAGGGTCTACACTGTCTTTGGAAGATTTGAAAAGAGTCGACATCTGGGCTCTTGGGCAAGTGTTTTACTGTCTGATCAATCCTGGTGTTTCGTATCCATTTGAGCGAGAGGGAGCTGATGTTAGTCAGATCATGCTGATGCATCGACAACGTAAAAGCCCGTCTGCCGATCCGAAGTACCAACCCAAGCAGACCACAGTTTGGTCCCGAGTGCATGCTGCTTTTGAGGCTTGTACAAAGCACAATCCATCTGAGAGACCCAGTGCCACTGGAGTCTTGGTTGTTCTTCATTCTCGTCGCTATGGAAACAGACACGGCATAGGTACAAAATTTTAGAACTTCGTTCAATCTTTACTTTGTTTTACATACATAACGCCTGTCATTGCTGATGTAGGGCATGACACCCGTGATGACATTGGAAAATGGCCACTTTCTTTCAAAACTATACCTTAAAGTGCTGTGTATAGGCGCATATGGCCTTCCAATTAACCAAATTCTATTAACATTTCAATGATGATAGATTTAACGGGTTCTCAGTAATCAGTTTTTCGGTTTCCCTTCAAGATGGTTTAGGAAACCCGTACTTAAGCAACCTTATAAGGAACTATTCTGTGCATCTTACGTACCACACACACACAAAAATTACACTTGGGTAGTGAAAGCAGGTTATTTTCTTTTGTATTTTCAGGTGCTTCTCCCCCAGAACAAAAACCCCCTGAAAGAAGTCACCTGCTAGGAAGACCATCCCACGCGCCAACCGTTCAGTGGTATGTTAGTGAGCAGGGTGAAACAGCTCTTAAATACGTTTTTGACGAGTTATCCCAAATAGCTACCAGTGAGGTCAAGATGAGTCGCAGCAAAGTGACCCAAGATATTTCAGTAAGATTCGCATACGATGGGCAAGGATGGGAAGCTTTGTTTCCTTTCGACTTTCCACAATCTAGGGCAACTTTAGTCTGCAATGGAAAGGAGCGTCAAAAAGTAGGTGGAGACACTTTCGAAAGTGCTGTTAAAGGCATAATAGATGTATTGATCTCTTCGGTAAATCGGCCACTGACTCCCAGTCAAGAAAACCCTGCTTACGAGCCCTGCTTTCAGTGGTACTCTGGTGATCATGGGGAAGAAGATCTGAGATGCGTTTTCAATGAGCTAANAGTTATCCCAAATAGCTACCAGTGAGGTCAAGATGAGTCGCAGCAAAGTGACCCAAGATATTTCAGTAAGATTCGCATACGATGGGCAAGGATGGGAAGCTTTGTTTCCTTTCGACTTTCCACAATCTAGGGCAACTTTAGTCTGCAATGGAAAGGAGCGTCAAAAAGTGGGTGGAGACACTTTCGAAAGTGCTGTTAAAGGCATAATAGATGTATTGATCTCTTCGGTAAATCGGCCACTGACTCCCAGTCAAGAAAACCCTGCTTACGAGCCCTGCTTTCAGTGGTACTCTGGTGATCATGGGGAAGAAGATCTGAGATGCGTTTTCAATGAGCTAAGCAGGGTCGCTGACGGAGAGGTGAGCATGAGTCGTAAGACTGACACACAAGATATTACAATGAATTTTGAACGTAATGGGCAAACTTGGAAAGTGCAGTTTCCCCCTAATTTTCCCAGATCTAAGGCGAATTTGATGCGTAATGGACAAGCGCATTGGAAGATTGGGGGTGAGGACGTGAAAGCTTCCGTCGACGCTTTGGTTACTCACATCTTATCAGAGAAGGAGCCAGCAACAGAGGCAATTGCACCAGCGGCCCAGAGGGGTTCTACACAGTGGTATGCTGGTGACAAAGGGGAGGCAGCGCTCAAGCGAGTTTACGATGGACTAAAGGAGAATGCTGATGGAGAGGTGAAGATGAGTCGCGATACAGACACTCAAGATATTAAGATGCGTCTTGAGTACCATGGACAAAGATGGCAAGTCATTTATCCACACAATTTTCCAAGATCTCCTGCAACATTGCACCGAAATGGAGAAGAATACGTAAAGGTTGGTGGGAACAGCGTAGAAACTGCTGTCACTGCGATTGTAAATCACATATCAAGGCATGGGCACACTGAAATTATGGATGAAGTCTGTATGTCTCAAATGCCAACTTGTGCACATGCTCAGTGGTATTCTGGTGACCAAGGCCAGGCGTCATTGAGGTACGTTTACGAAGAACTGGGCCGAATCGCCGACGATGAAGTACACATGAGCCGCGACACAGACACAAAAGATATTACGTTGAGTTTTAACCGTCATGGACAACAATGGGCAATCACATTCCCTTCAATTTTCCCAAGCTCCAAAGCGAACTTGATTTTCAATGGAGAAGTTCACGCGGAGGCCGGCGGCAGTACTTTGAAAACTGCTGTCACTGCCATTAAGAATCGCATTTTATCTGTAGATCAACCTGGAGCCAAGACTTTGTATTGGAAGCGTACATCGTGTATTCCTAGCTGAAATATGCTCGTAGTGATTCCTATGTGGTCTTAAATTGGCCAACATCAAACGATATTTTGCTTACATTCGCCAGTTCAGTAGAAAAGACGGCAAAAGGATTATTTACAGGGTGGCAAAGGGGTTTTCCGTGACGCGTGATGGAACCCAAATTATCAGCATGACGCGTGATCGGGCTCAAATTAGCCGCGTGACACGTGGTTGGGCATATCAGCGTGATGCGTGATTTACTATAAATACAACGCGTGACGCGTGATTTTCCTTTGAAATTTCTGTGATGGAAATAGAAACAGAAACATCAAAATAATTCTTATGACACCAACTTCTTGCCCTTTTTCTCGTTTCCCGACGTGTGATTTCCTCAGATTAAATGATAATGGGATACTTGTTGATGTAGTTAATAATTCATTCTCTTTTTTCGTGACGCGTGATAGCTTTAAAATAATAGACGTGATGCGTGATGCGTGATAGGTATTCCTCCCCCTCCCCCCGCTCCACCTTTGCCACCCTGTATTTAGATATGATAACCAGCGTTTCAGGAGATTAATTTTATTAGTTTGCTTTTTGTGAAGGGTAAAAATAAGTGGAACCTAGTTTTATTCAGGCACTCCTCTCAAAAGCTTCACTTGATTCGAAGATACAATTCAAATTTTACAATTTTTTTCAATTTGCCAATTTAGTAGGTTTCCTATAGTAAGAATTTGCTAATATCAAAATTAACACCAACGCGTCAAAATATTTCTTGCTATTTTTGAAGAGTCATATGACACGTGCAGGGATTTTAGGGTCCACAAAAAGAAAAGCACCCTTTAAAAAGATTACATTTTAGCCTATATTTTTCACATAAGGCCTACAGAGCGTTTTCACTCGCCAGGCCAGCACCTTTGCAAATTTATTGGAACAAAAGAAACTTTAAAGTAGAAAAATGGTTCAATTCCAAGAGGACCCGGTTTAAAACACCAACATGGCCACCGTTTTGTTGTTTTGGAACACCATTATGGTAAACGTGACGCCAAGTGAAAATGCTCTGTAAGGATTTAAAGGGGCTGAGGCTTTGTTCACGGGTTTTTTGGCCTAGCAAAGATTTTTAAATAGCCTCATATATGGTTCTCAAGTGTTTTCGAAGCGGTTAAACGAATTTTTTCCCAGTCAGCAGGGCTCAAAATCTTATAAGATACCGCCTAAAAGCAAAACCAAATCCCAGACTGATTTTTTGGATTAGGGGGATTTCATTTCGTTTATCTATCTGTTTTCAGTTTAAGGTTTACGTTTCTGGCAGTCTTTCCTCAGGCAATGAAAGTAAAAAAGCAGTTCTATAATGGAGAAAAAAACCCTATTTTTTGTTGACTTTAAATGTTCATGCTAACATAGAGACCTTCAATTTGACTCCAAGACAAGGGTGGCAAGGAGGACGAAAGTTTCCTAAAATTAGGTAGTGCACCCCTGTAATGGAATCAGCGTCATTTCGACGGGCGTGAAAACCCGTGTCTTATAGCCTTAGTTCGTTATTCCACTACCTATTCTACATATAGTTTACTTTCTTAGCAATATTTACTGTACAACTAGTTATCTTATTTTGAAGGGCTCTTTAGCTGTCAGATCTTGATATACAGAGTTCCCTGTGTTAGGATAAAAATATAAGCTTTCTGTGTTACTCATGTTCTCCATCTTGTTTTTAATTAAATTCCCCTCCGAAAAAACACATTTTGTCACTAATAACGTCCGTGCCCTCACGCGTAGATATTTGTATAATGTAAAGTCCACTCCTTTCATTTGTTCGTTACAAAGCGGCGATGGAAATAGAAGTGATGAGGTAAAGTGAAAGGAGCTGACTTTTAAATATATTCAAACCAACAACTGCAGCATAAAAGTGACTACGTATGCATTCGAAGAATTGTTTTCGTGTTGTATATGGAGTCAATTCCAAGAAAATTGGGAACAGAATATCAAGTCAACTCCGCCCATTTTTGTAAAGCACGATAATGCATAAAAATATCTTGTTGTTTTTTACTTTCCCTGAAATGTTTACGTACAGAAAGGTCGATGTCTTGAAGATTGCCTGCTTAATAATCAAGAATGCAATTCACAGTTCTGGTTGAAGTTAAGCTTACAGCAAATTAAACCATGACTAACCTATGCAAAGTATTTTATGCTTCAATCATTCATGTATTCACTTTGTTTTGTGCAAAATGTTGCATCATCCTTTTCACAGAGAGGTTTTCCCAGAATTGGGCTTTTGCAAAATTGAAACTGGTAGAACAAATAGAATAAATGTAGTCAGAAAACTCGTGTCTCTATAGCCTTAGTTCGTCTACTACCAGTTTTAGCGATCGAGAAATGTTAAACTCCTTCAGTAATCGTTCTAACTTTTCGGTATGGTGGAAAAAGTACATTGGAGCTTTCGGGGTGCCTATTTTCTTAGTAAAAGCGGACAAAACTTCAAGTGATCAAATCTCGTCCTCGCGTCCTTGAATTTAAACGTCTCTAATAATGAATAATGAGCTGAATGAGTAAGAAGAGACAGAAATAAAAAAATGATGATACGCGCACATTTTAAGTCAACATATAGCTAGTAATATTTACTGTAGAACTAGTTATCTTATTTTAAAGGGCTGTCTAGCTGTCAGATCATTTGCCGTTTTGATCGGTTTAAGGCAAGCTTATTTTCGACAGTTAAGAAAGAGACTGGTCTTTTCTGTATGTTTCAGGGGTTTGCAGTTTCCAGGTAATGGCATTAACATCGTCGTTACTAGGTTGCCTTTGTGTTTTGAAAACCTTAACAGATCAAACAAAAATTGTTTTAATTTGGTTTTATTTTAGATTTTTTTATGGATGTGGCATGATGATAAACTATTCTGTTCATCGATTCGATGTAAACACACTCTCTGGTAAAACCCGCGAGCGTACAGTATATCTGAGGGAAGAGGGTTTCATTCGGATGGGGTACTTTTCGACGTGATGTTGAAGAATTGTGAAATTTGCTTTGACCATAATAGTAGGACATTTTAAACATCATTTTTCTTTACCAGAGAGATATAAAGTTAAACTCCATTTCTTCAGCAAATATTCAAATGGTCGCTTGTACATGTTGAGGTTCCTAGACCGGTGTGAGACAATTTCATCAAATCACTCTGAGAATGTTTTTTTTTTTTTAATGTTTCAAGTATTGCACCGCATGTCGTGAAAATTACTCGACAGAACATGATGTCTGCATGGTGACTGGCAAACTTTATTTTCCCTCTTCCTAATGTGATGCACGCGTACGTTTCCTGGTATATCACAGTGAGCGATCATATATATGACGCGGAAGAAATGTTCAGAGTAAACCACTCCATAAACACGCTTGGGTTCCCCGGTATATATCACAGTCTAGAGCGAACATAGCATCAGTGGCGCAGAAGAAAAATATTCAAAGTAAACCACTTCATAACCGCGATTACGTTTCGCAGTATATCACAGTTTTCTATAATAAGGCTAAAACTTCGCTTAACAATTATCTTAACAACCATGAAACAAAATTAATCATCCACTAATGTGAAACCTACTGTCCACGCTTAGTCATTAAGATGTAAAGAGTTCAAGTCTGCCTGTGGCTACATCAGTCAGAAGTTGGGGGGGTTTAGACGTGCTAAGCTTCCCAGTTGCAGGGTCGAAATACAGCTCATCAGCTGGCCTTGATGTCTTCAGTTTTCCCGTCGAAGGATCAAAGTACAGGTTTTCAGCTGCCCTTGATGTACCACGTTTTCCCGTTGAAAGATCGACATACAGGCTATCAGCTGGCCTTGATGTCTTTAGTTCTCCCGTTGAAGGATCAAAGTACAGGTGGTTAGTTGGTCTTGAATTTTGCATTTTGAAAATGAAGAGGTGTTTCTTCGGACTTGCGCTGTTCTGGCGTGAGCTACGTGGCTCTAGGTACAATGCAGATTACAACGGGATGTCTCCTTGCTAATTCAGAGTACCCTTCCATCCAAGCCTTTAGTAATACGATATTCGTGGAAATGTTTTTCCATTTTATTTGTTTCACTTTTCCAAGAAGACCGAAACAGTAGTCTCAATGTCACTTGCCCCGCCCTCAATTCAGAAGTCAATCTGCAAATCGATAAGTTTATTTTAAGAATACCAGATATATACCTTCAGGGGTTTTTCATGTGCGAGTGGAGAGCGTTCCGATATCGTTTCAATTTCCACGTACTAACGATCAGATCAACAGAGTAACTGACTTAATTTAGTTTTCTCGTTGTCTGCTGAAGCCTGTATGAATCATTACAGTTGACTCAATTCCTGGAAAAAGAGGAACAGACCGTCAAGAATACACTCACGCCATAGAGCCAGATAAACAGAAATGCGATATTTTTGTCTCAGTGTATTCAGTTTCTATTTGCATTTTTCTTCAAAGAAAAGTCTATTTACAGAAAAGGGTGTCAGTCGAAAATCAAAGATTTATACAGTACAATCTGAGTTGCTACCAGTTCTCGCGTCAAAATTAGCAGGGACGTAAGGTTATAGAGACTGTCACTATATTGTGCGCTGCTCGTTTTGATTTTAATTAATTTATGTGCATACTAATATCTTAAAAACACACTTCGTGGATACAGTTTTCCAAGAATTTAAAAAACGTGTGGTTAACATAATACATACTTTCAGAGCGTTTCCCAAGAAATTTCGCAACCTGCTTGTCAATTTCCGACACTGTGATCCGTGGCCCTCCTCTGCACGTCTAAGTCACTGTCCATTTTTTACTTTACTTTCATGCATTCTCAATGACAGCTTTGAATTTTAATTTTTGATATAAACAGAGTGTTTTCACTCACGTGGCCAGCATATATGCAAATTTATTGGAACAAAGGAAAGCGTTTGCATAACAAAAGAGTTCAACTCCCACAGGATTGGTTTGGGACAGCAACATGGCCGCCGTTTCATTGTTTTGGGACACAAATATGGCCGTCGTGACGTCAAGTGAAAACACTCTATACATCCAAACGTCCAAAAGTATTTGACAACAATTTTCGAGTGTATAGAATATCACATATTTATATATGGTGAATTGAAGCAAAATTAAGTAAAACAACAGTATAAAGTCTATAAAACTTAATATGAAATGAAAGAAATGAATAGATCTCTTTAGATTGTATGTTTTGTTTTCCTAATACAGGACATGTGACAATACTCCAGGGAACTGTTTCTCTCAAATTTCGTCTTTATCACGCGGCATATGTACGCATAATTTATGAAAAGACAATGGGTCAAGTTTCCCTGTGACCTCTATTGGGAAACCAAAACACACAAGCTAAAGAGGTGTATTGATAGAATGAAGGAACGATAAAAACCCAGAAAACATTGATAATAGGTGTACACTTGCTGATCACAGAATTATAAGGATTAGTTCTCTTTAAGAAATCAATGAATTCATGATTTACAATTACCTGACAATAAAGTGGCCATGTTGCTGGTCAATACAAAAGAAAAATACTTTTTCGAAGAATTTACATGGAAATAGCGTCAAGTTCCCAGCAAACGTAACAGAAATCAACGGCGGTTTTAGGGTGGGCGCAGGGGGCCCCGGCCTCCTCTTTTGTCTGGGAATTTTTTTTCTTTTCTAAACGTGTGTCGGATGGTACTTCGAGCTAATTATTACTTAAATATATTTTCTTTAAATAACATTATTAATAAGAAAATTTATCGGACGTTGTCTTTGCCGGGAGATTGTACTCTCGTCGCAATCCATCGCTTCGGCCCCTGCGTTAATTACTACTTCGACCACAACCACACCTGTGGTTTATTAAATATTTCAGCATTAGATGTTCAAAATGGAATCCTCGCATTTACTAAATTTAAGCGTCCAGAATGCACTATACTAGATTGCCTTTTCAGAGACTTTCAATCTCAAAAATTTTCGCGGAATTTTTTTTTTTTTTTTCAAAGCTGTGGTTTATTAAATATTTCAGCATTACATGTTCAAAATGGAATCCTCGCATTTACTAAATTTAAGCGTCCAGAATGCACTATACTAGATTGCCCTTTTCAGAGACTTTCAATCTCAAAAATGTTCGCGGAGGAGCATGCGCCCGAAACTCCTTAGAAAATTACGCCGTTTGCAGTCTTGATGGGCGCTATCGTCTCCATATCGCCACTGTTTTTTATATCTCTAGGCTCCCTTTTTCACAAAATCCTCCGACCGCCCTTGGAAATGCTTTTGTTCAGTTAACGACCATCATGGCCGCCATAACAGTTCAAGTGTAAAGTAGCAATAGTTGGACAGGGTAAAAAGTAACTGAATGTCAAATGTTTCGCAGTGATATTAAATTTTTTAAAGATGAAGGGAGTAATAATTTTTGGCTTAATTTCTTCCAATGATTTTTAATCGCATCTATTATCCACAGCAACTGTTGTTTTTCTCACTTTGCAATAAAATCTATTTGTTGAATGCTTAAACGCAGAATAACGTTTTGAAACCTTCAACTTGATAACCCAGCCCAGAAATCCTGCATCCACCATGACTAAGTATGAAAATGTGGATAAAGATGACTGACACATTTTACTGGACATGTTCAAAATTCTTTAAGTTTAAATCTATACGATACCTAAATATTACAACAAAATCGCAAAAATTGTTCAGTTTCACTTTGATAATATGGCGTAACGGTGGATAACAACTTACATTGTCGCTACAGGCCAGAGTTCATTTTAAAGGCTATTCTTCTAGAATGTCACCCGGCACGTTCAGAATGTTAAATTTTATCACAAAATTCAGAAAATAAGCCACTGTCCGTAATTATACGTCTTCTCACAAATGTTGTTTTTCAGTGATGTTACTGTAGCTCATCAGTCGAGGTCCAGCGCACAGCTGTTGGGACTTATCTCCAAGGGCACTGTTATATAGCCGTTCTCTGTTTCATGCCTTCCCAGATTGAATCCAAAAAAACCTCCAGACCCTTGCTTGTTCATATCCACCGCTATAGCTTTGTCGTTAGAAGGTCTTGATGTACAGAGTTTCCCTGTGGCAGGATCAAAATATAAGTTTTCAGTGCTACTCATGTTCTCCATCTTGTTTTTGTTTAAATTAAACAACACACTTTGTCCTTTAAAGTCCGTGCCCTTTGGTGTAGATATTTGTTTAAAGTAGACTCCACTCCTTTTTTATTCGTTACCAAAGTAGCGATGGAAATGAAAGTAACAAGGTAAAATGAAAGTGGCTGGCTTTCAAATACATTCAAACCAACAAATAGCGCAGTGACTACGTATGCATTCGAAGAATTGTTTTCGTGTTGTATATGGAGTCGATTCCAAGAAAATTGGGAACAGACTGTCAAGTCAACTCCACCCATTTTGTAACGCATGACAGTGCATAAAAATAACTCGTTGTTTTTTACTTTCCCTGAAATGTTTACGTACAGAGAGGTCGATGTCTCGAAAATTACCTGTTTAAAAATTAAGAATACAATTCACAGTTCTGGTCAAAGCTTATAGCTGACGTTTAAAAAGTATTTTATCCTTCAACCATTTATTTATTCACTTTGTTTTGTGCAAAATCGTCCATCATCCTTTTCACAGAGAGGTTTTCTCAGAATTGTTTTTTTGGCATAATTGAAACTGGTAGAACAGATAGAATAAACGTCATCAGTAAAAGGCTCAGCGTCGTTGCGTGACATTGCTAAGATTTAAAGTTTCCAAGAAAACATTAGAGATTCATCTGAGTATCAACTGAGTACAGAGACAGAGATTGAAGGAAGAGTGTATTTGTCCGCAAGGAGATTTCAAACTTTTTCTTCAAGATGTTCGGATGGTGTGGATATGGTAGTTCTCAAGACAACAGAGAGTTCAACGTTGTGATCTACGAGAATGATTACAAAGAACTATGTGCGTGGGTGCTGAGAAAACCACACATTGAAACAGGCGGTGATCTCTTTGGTTTATGGGCTAACAAATACACTGCTGTCATCCAACTTGTTCTTGGTCCCGGTAAAGGGTGCAGAAGAACTTCAACCTCTTTCTACCAAGATGTGAACTACTTGGAAAAAGTCGGCACGCATCTGACACAGAAGGAAGGCATTTGCCATATTGGCGAATGGCACTCACATCACCAACTTGGCCTTGCGCGACCAAGCGGGGGAGATGAAAACACTGTGTGGAACAACATGCCAACCTACAACCTGACGAGGTTCGTGATATTCATTGCGAACATAGACCACTGTGGGCAGTCATACAGCGTCAATGTTGGTTGCTTTCTGTTTGAGATCGATAGCAATGGAAAACAGCTTCCTGTGCTGCGAGGAAAGTTCAAGATTCTAAACCAAGAAAGCCCTTTTTTTGGAAAATCGGAAGTAATTAAGTTTAAACAAAAAGGAGAAGAAAGCACGAAAGGGGATGAGTTCAACGTCGGTATCACAGATCTAACTCCAACAGATGGAACGTTTTCCATTCACATAAAACAGAAGAAGAGAGTTGGGCAAGGGAACGAACATGCGCAGAGTAATCAACCACAAAAGAAGAAACATAGGACCGATCCGCAAACCACACAACCGACGACTGCACAAAACCAGGCGGGCAAGCGAAAGAACTCAGAAGCTTCAAGCGTCCCAGGGAAAAATAACCTTGGAGATCCGAGAACAAATGAGGAGGAAGTGGAAAACCAAAAACAACAAAAAGAGAGAAACGAACCACCAGAGCAGGGGGACTTGGAAACCTCTAATAAAGAGGACAGGAATAATCAAAACGGTCCAAATAAAACAGATGAGGACGGAGAAGCACTCTCAGAAAATAAAGAAAACTCGGATATGCAAGGAGGCAACATGAAAGGACAAGAAAACTTTCAAGCCCCCGGAATTGAACTGAGAGAAAACCAGGACCAACAGTCCCAGCTAAACCAAGAAAACAGCATTGGTATCAAGGCTGTTGATCAGGGAAGTGACAAAGCGCAAAATCAATGCGAGCAAGACAGCAAAAATCAAGGGCAAGAGCATGAAGGAGGAGGCGGTAAAATTGAAGAAACAACCCCTGGTACAAGCGTCGACCATGACAGAGCCAAGAATCTAGCTTCGAACACTGAGCCAGCAAATAACTCACCAGCTATGCCACAGCACAATCCTGGTGAGAACGAAGGGTCTAAAACCTCTGGATATGCAGACATGGAGAGCAAACAAGGAGATACCAAAGCTAATGAAAATGAAGGAAAAGTACAAAAAGAAGAAGAGGAAGAGATGAAAGAAGACGAAAGAGTGGAAATTCAAGCCCTTAACATTCAAGATCAAGTAAACCAGAGTCAAGAGTGTCAGCAAAATCATAAAAGAAAAAGTCTCGGCACTAAAGAAGACCCGAAAAAGCTTCAGTCTCCAGCCATGAAAGGGAAAAAGGCACCGACAACATCACAAGGCCAGATGGACGAGAAGGGGGTTTCGCGACCTGACATAGAGGAAGAAAAAGAAACTCAGAGAGAAACAAATGGGAAAGAAGTAGCCGCCAAGAACAGTGCAATAGAGGAAGAAGAAGTCGAAGGAGTACAAAAGAAAGGAAACCCAGCTGCTCACTCAAAAGAACTACAAGGAAACCTCGGCACCAAAACCAAAGACCATGACAACGGTGAGACGCAGTCTTCAGAGAGAGAGAAACAAGAGAATAAAACTGAAGTTAAAAACAGCAGCAATTATGGAGGAAAACAATCGAGTGAAAGCCTTGTTAACAAAGGAAAACAGACGCTGGAGAATACTAAGGAAAGCACCAAACAGGAGAAAAGCCTTGACCCTAAGAAAGGACCAAGTGGCCAAGTGAAAAAAGAAGAAAAGAAAAAGAACCAAACAGATCTAAACCCAAACAAAAGTCCTGGTACAAAAGGAAAACCAATACAGGGGGCGGCAGCCGCGTCATCGGGAAAGAATAAGCCTCCAAAACAAATGGCAAACACTAACCCGAAAAAACCTGGAGTAGCAAGAAAGGCAAAGTAAACCGCCACCTGAGGACGAGGCAGGCCGAATTAAAAGCTTAAGAGCGACATATATTTAGGAAAGTTTCGTTTTTGCAGAAATTTCATGTTCTTTTTTTCTAGTATGTTGACATTGACGAATATTTCATCTTAATAGTTTGTTCCGTTTTCTGGGAATCCTATATGAGAAGAATTTTGAATAAATAGGTAAATGAATTTAATAATCAAAAACGGAACTTTTAGTTTGAATTTTATTCTCTAGTAATTTGTCCAGCCATTAAATTGTTTTCTAAAATTTAAAAAAATCTGGAAGGCTGTGTTCGTTTCTAAGTGTCTTGCTGGGAGAATTTGATAAGTTAAGACCCCATTTCTTTTTGTTAATATTGCCGGCAACGCATGATTTGGGAGTCAGTATCTGGCAAAAACCCTCAAAGACATTTAATGGTAGAACGGATAGGCCATGCATCAAAAGGGCTCATCACGTAATACAGCGTATAACCCTCTCAAAAACCTATTTCAAAAGCGTAAAGTGTTTGTAGTTTGGTAGCTAATACGAAATTACCATAGTAGAAGTGGTCAGCTTTGTAGACCTGACCGACCGACCAAGGACATGCACTTGCTGTGGCGTATATGAAACCTTCAACTATGCCACAAACTATTCACCTCAACGGCATCCTTAACAAGTACTACATCTGATGCTATCGTAACCGTCTCATACCCCACCCCGGAAAGAAAAAACTGAGTATATGATCTTAAAATGTGGTTGCTTCTTTAGGCCGTTGCAGGGAAATAATATAAGTCACCTTGTTAGTCAATTCTATATTCGTCTATTCAACTAGATGTCTGGGTGTCGAACTGGACTGTAAACTTAACTGGAATATTTATGTTACCGATCTGATCAAGTCATTCACACAAAAACTGAATCTTTTGAGATCTTAATACATTTTACCTTCCAAAGTCAACGCTGATTTTTAATTCAACATCGTTTTACCTTCCGTTACTTATGCCTTAGTCGCGTGGGGATCTTGCGGAAAAACCTTCTTTTAGAAGCTGGGAAAAATCCATGTTCAGGTTACTAAAATTAGTATTTTTTGTTGAGACTGGTACACGTCGAGCGACAAGGTGCTAGACCATGCAAACTGGTTTTCATCAAATAATCTATATGATCTAATATTCTTATTATTAGCCAAAATGTTTTCACCAATCCGGCCACCGAAACTATCCAAAATTTTTTTAAAAAGTACAATATTTATTGCAGTTATAATTTACGAAGAAAGGTTACGTTTGAGATAGCTTTTCCCGAGACAGAGCTACTTCCCAAGTCCAGCTGCTATAAAGCACTAACATTGTGGAACTCTCTGCAGTCACACAAGGGAAGTACAAAGTTTTGACTCTTTTAAAAGGACACTGAAAAGTCGGCTTTCTAAGTAAATAGTTTTAGACTTTTGACTGTTTTAATGATTTCGACACTGAACAGTCAGCTTTTTTAAAGTAAATAATTTTAGGCCTTGAGTTTTAATTTATTGTAAATAGTGTTACTGATTGCGTTAACGAATTTGATAACATCTTTGTTTTAACACGACCACATCAGCTCTGCTGTACTTTTTAATCGTGTATAAATAAATGCTATTATTATTATTATTATTTTTAAACCAAACCGTCTCCAGCCCTAGTTGGTTATGACATACAGTGATCCTGCATTTCTTACAAAGTTGAATTCACGGGGACTTTCTAAACTGTGGAACTGAGGAATTGTCTGGCAAAGTTAGGATTATGTAATCGATCATCAAACTCTTGTTATTCTTTGATTAGTTTTAGTTTGTAGCGTCAAGTAGTCTAACAAAGTGAGGACTGTATCGCACTTTCCCGGCCTCATATGAACCCCTGTCATTTTTTTCAATTTGTTCCACACTTCTATGGGCTATAGACTGGGATTTCCCTCTCTATCACTTATCGATCATCTCTTGATCACTTTGCTGTTATAGGCAGAAAAACAAAGGCACTTGTAGAATAAACGCTTTGGTGATTTTTATCAGAGGCAAAATAAACGATCTTGTAGCTTAGATTTAGAGGTTCCATTGCAATCAAATGATAAATTGACGATGAATGATGAAGTTGTAAACTTGACAGAGTAGGAACTGTGGGAACAATCCATAACTAATATTAATTATTATTTTGTGTTTCAATATAAACGGAGATTACAGATAACCAACAAAAGTCGAAAATCATTGACTAACAACCGACATAGGGAAAGTGAACATGATCATCGCAGTAGAATGAGCAAACCTAAGCTGTTGAAAAAGAAGCTGAAAAAATTCAGGCTTGAATGGGAATCGCCCACTGACCTTGGCAATGACCAGACGCAATGCTCTCTCTCGCCACTTTTCACTGAAAACTCGCCCACAACTCCCATTTCAGAACCTGACTAATCAATTTTAGTAAAATCCAACTAGTGGTCTATTATCAATGCTGCGTTCTGATTGGTTGAGCTACTACTAGGCTATATGTTATAGCCTACTAGCAGCGAAAAGCGCCCGCTTTTTGGCGGCACAAAGGATTACAGTCTAGCTTTAAGTAGCTAATTTTTTTTTTATTCTGGATATTTTTGACCAACTATTTGGATTTAACTAAAACAATTATTCCTCTCGCCCTCATGGCCTCTGAGTCAGTAGCCCATGAGACCGACTCAGAGCCCATTCGGGCTCGAGGAATAATTGTTAAATAACGGAGCTCGCGGGCAAAGCGCTCTCAGCGGAGCACCAGGGGTAAGAAAATTTGGTTATATATGTATCAGAGATATTTTGGTAGTGACTTTAGCCAAGTGACCGTCCGTCCGCATTACAGGTATACCAATGTAAAATAACTCAATCAACAGGTGCGGTAACCCAAATGCAACTAGGGAGTTTTTTTTTCGGGCGGGAAATCGCATGGCGTCTTGTGAAGCAGTCAGACAACAAAAGAATCAATAAAGACAAAATTGGAAGCATAAATTGTTTCTTTATCCGTGTTTTCTAAACTGTTAAAAGCTTAGAATTATTGTCATATCCACAAATTTGGAATATAGAGAAAGAGAAAGACAGAAAAAAAAGAGCAAATGAGCGAAGCTCAGGCGAGAAAAAGAGCGACAGATAGCTAGAGCGAGTGATAATAAACAAAGGAGAGGAATTTCGTTGGAAGAAAGACATTGAAAATTTTATACCTACTGAAAATGAGAAATGCTAGCGGCCAGAGTGATGAAAATAAGCGGCGGCAGGAACCGATTAGCCGGCAGCACTGAAAAAGTAAGCGAACAGGAATTCAAGCAACAATTGAGCACATACGACACTTTCTCCATAAAACCTGCAAAGTTCTAGAAGGGTTTCACTTTGCAACTACAACGGTAAAAAATTGTACAAAAAAAGTGTGCTGCACGTGCAAAGTTTCTTTTTTTGTTGCTAATTAGACCTATTAATTTTTTTTGGCCGTTCTAGTTGCCACCATGCACGGTTTAGAATTATACGATCTTACAGTCGAACCTTCACTAACGGCCACCTCTTCACACTTTTTATGGCGGACAACCCGTGCATTGACTCTTGTTTAAAACTCCCTACAAACGGCCACTTTCTTCTATCCCCAAGGTGGCCGTTGTGGAGAGGCTAAACTGTAGCTTTTGTTTAAGTAAATTACAAGTATTTTAAACGAGAGCTTCGCGTTTTAGCCCCGGCTAAATCTATATTAGTCAATACTTATTACCCTTATCAATGTAGCTTTCCAACAGGAATTACTTTGTGTGAACATCATAGGTGTCCAAGTTTATTTGAATCATGGAATCGAATGCTTACCAAACGGAAAAACCCACGTTCAATTTATTAAAATTCTAATATGACTCTGAAAGCTTTCTGGTCATTTGTCCATATTTTGTTTGTATGTTTGTTTGTTTGTTTTTTTCTCAATTCACGGCTTCTGGGAATTGCGAGACAACGGAGTCGCGGGAAAAATTTGTAATTTTGACCTTGAAGTCTCGAAGTCATGTTAAAACTTAATAGATCGAAAGGGGGCTATTCCAATGCACTTGTTTACCCACGCGAGAAGGAAATAGCTAGGCGATCTGCGCGATGGTGCCTTTTTAATGCTACTACCAGAATCCTTTAGGGTTTTGCTTTCTTGGGCAAATTAGGGCTTTTGAAATTTGAACCTCACTGGGATTACCAAATTTAAATATAAAAGAAAAACGGATTGAATTCTGTCTGGTCTTACTGGTAAAAAGACGTCATCATCGCCTATTGTGAACAGCAAGTGATAACGTCTGCGCATGCGTTAGGCTGAGTGTCAAGAACTTCAGTGTTGACGGGATACCGTATTTTTTGAATGGTTGAAAGCTAATCTGAAGCACTTTCAAGGGAGATTTTAATTGCATACCTGATTCACAGCAGACATGCATTAACAGATTGGATACTTTCGTTAAGCCATGTTGAATTCTCATGTATGGTAGAAGGACCATTTAGCCGGTTAATTTTCCTCAGTTTGGCTGCTCGATGAAGCAGATTAAGCGTTCACGAAGTCGTTTGTTGTGAGATGTTGTTGTGTTGACTTTTGATACTATTTAATACTATTTAGCGGATACTATTGATATTATTTGATACTATTTAGCGGCATGAAATCAGCGTCAAATTTCCTGCTCTTAGAAGTAAGCATTGAAGTAAGGCCGTATTCGGCTGTTTCCTTCCATTTTCGAAAATTTGCTTTTCTGGTTTACTTTAATTCTCTATGGTATTTATTTATTCTTAGAGATTAAGAGATCAAGGCGGTGGTTTGGGAAATATTATTTGCTGAATACTGCGCTTTTCTTGTCCTTTTCAACCTTGTTTTCAGACTTTTTGTGTTCAACATGTAAAAGTCTATCCCAACAAAACTTACTTATAAAAGCATTGTTTTGGAACACTCTTTCATTCTTGTATGTTTGATTTTGCATCCAAGTGGGGGAACACTGATGAAATTGAGTTTTAATAATCATGTTTTGTAACCTCTCAGATTCATTTACAGGAATCCTCACCATTTGGGAGATGATTTTGTTCTGATAATTTGTTTATGATAATTAATTTACCAGATTGGCGCAATAAAGAATTTTAATCTTATGCTTAAAATGTTTATATAATGTCTTGAAACATAACTGAAATCGATATAAAATATGAAATTACACTGTTGCCCTACTATAAAATATGATAATTGTGATTCAATGCAATTACATATGACCATTACGACGTTACTCCCACTTTGAAAGTAAAAGCGCAAAACAGTTCTTGCCCTTGCATTTGTTCA